TCATGTTCCAAGAAGCTTTAAAAGATCTAAGAGTAGACAGAGGTGGAGTGTCCTCATGCAGCCATGTCCAAAAGTAGCCTTCTACCAGCTGCTCAAGGCAGCTTAGGCTGCCTGGAGGCCAGGGAACCCAGCACAAAACAATGACAACAAAATAGAGTTCCCTTCATTCCTTAATTCACATGCAAGTGAGGTGCCAATCAAGTGCTGACAAGCATGGAAAAACCAAAATCAAAAGTGGGTAGAGACATGCTTTCAAAAGGAGCGGTTTTCACACATTTCTAAGTGATGTTTTTTAATGGTGACTGAGCAAACCACTGACAACGTAGACAAAGAAATAAAAATGAGCAGATCCTAATATTCTATCAATTGAAGCAATTCAGTGAAGCCAATAAAATGTATTGATTCAAATACTTGATACATGTCACAAAAAATATGAGCACTCTTGTTTTTGGTCAAAGGAAACAATCTGAATGTGATGTACGGAGACCTGTAAGTGCAGCAATACAGTGAGCTGAGGTGGGTTAGGACGCTGACAAGGAAAGCCAGCTCATTTTAACAACAATGATGGCGATGTTACTTGATTTTGTAAACTGATTAGCACCTGGAAACACAAGAACAAAGCCCAGTGAAATGGCCAACTGAAGCAATGAAATCAATCAAACCAAGTGGTTGGGAAAGAGATGGAAATATCAAAACATAAATTATACTATAAAAATTAAAGAAAAATAAACTTAAAGCCTACATTTTAATAGCTAGGCCAGACTATCTTTCTAAATAATTTTGTAAACAAATTGTAGCTAAGATTGTTAATTCTACCATTTATAAAATTAAATTTGTAAGACAAATTTATGGCTAAGTATGATGACTTAGACAAGATAATACAGGCAGATACACAATTTTCAGAAATTCATTATTAATTGATAAGACTGTTCATTCTCTTGTCTTTGATAGATACGTGTTGAATTTAATCAGGATGTCTTATCAATACTCATTTTTCCTAGGATCACAGAAAGTCTGGAGACCTGGATATAGTTTGGTCTATTGTGCAAGCAAGGGCAGTGACAGGTATACTTTTGGTGTTATGTTTCTTGTGCTCACAGAAAACTGTATACTGTTCTTAGGAGGCTAGACCCAGGACAGCTGCATTACAAGACACACTACCATAAAATGAATCCTGACTTTGAAAATGAATCTTTCACTACTGTATGTTCTCCAGGAGCAATGAACATTTTAAGATAGGATATAATAATAAAGTATGTTCTCAGTTTTCAAAAATAATTAGGAAAACATGGACTTTTAACAATTTTGTTCTCAAAACTTCAAAGTAATCACTTTCAATTTTAAACTAGATTTTACCTAAATTTTAACACAGTATATGGCAAGCCACATTACATAAGGTCCTCTAGCCTGGTATTCAAACAGCAATCATTAAACAAAATTTCATTAATTACATATTTAGAACCTGTATGTGCCACACAGTTGACATTTATTAGTCAAAGAAGAAGGCTGACTTCATGACAGTGGCAGAAGATGGTCTGTACATACTATAATATGATGGGACACACTAAGGCAGGGACACAGACAGGGAGCCTTGCCAGCTTTTAAGAGTGTAAATTTTGAACAATTTAAAACATATAAGCTACAGAAAGCTAAAGGTTTTGTAAATGACGTGCATAATGTATCACCAAGAAAACAATGATACTACAATTTAAGATTTCTATTCTTCACATTTTTCTTATATTGCTAATATTAACATTTTGAAGCTATGCACGACAATTTCACATGTTATAGTTATGCTGAAAATCCCTGAGACAATGTTTGTCAATATTTTAAACACGAAGAGTTTTCTCTTAAGGATATTAGCAGTAACAGGAAAGAATGCTTTCTTTACACAAAAGCAGGTTTACAAACACTGTAGAGTTCTTCTGTTACAATACTTCCATATTTTGAAACAGAAACACAATGAATTTACACATGTTTATTAAATTTAGCAAAATGCAAACCTCATCAGTATACACTTTTATTTGCTCGTAAGTCATTTTTTAGGCTAAGACCACTTTTTCTTCAGTTGGCACTGCATGACATAGTTTAATCATTTGTTGCACAACAAGTAGTAAGTCCATGAAGTTGAAATGATAACCATCAATATTTTAAGACCTAAACAAGGTATATTACATTAAATAGACTTCTCAGTCTGCTCCTGCCTGACAGATCCACCAGTGGTTCTATTATCTCCTCCTCCCATGCATGGCCTCCTGCAGGGACAGCAGACTACAGAAGCTGACCCTTACTGGGACCATCTTGTCTCTCAAACAAAGCTCCTTTTTAACTTCTTACTTACTAGTTACTTCCTGTGCTGGAGAAAAACTTTAGCTCAGCTTGTGATAATTTCACAGACCCTGAGGACTCTGACCCTAATAGCCTCAAGGTCAGAAGTCAAGTCTTGTTCTGAACCATCTGTGTGCTTTATATAAAGTGGAACAAACGTGGAGAACTATCCACCAGTGTGTGACAAGAAGGACAGCAACCAGGACTGACACACTGCTCATCTGTCAATTCATTTCAAAATATAGACTTGAATTCGCCCTAATTCCAATTTTGATTTATAAAGTAGTTTCTTTTTAATAAATGATTGTAAGGTTAAAAAAAAAGATCAGTTATGCTTTATTCAAATTAGAAATTAGATTAGTGTTTCAGGACTTTACACATTTAAAGGTACTCCATAAGTTAAAAAAGGTAATTTTAAAGTAATTTAATGACTTAAATATAAAAGCTATCTATAGCTACAAATGTAAATTATCTGTAGATACTAAAGCATTGTTTTAAAATACTGCATTTTCTCTCAACATCGATATTTAAGAAAAACTCACACTAATGTGTTAAGAAGTTACCTTAAGGTGTCTGTTATGTATATATAACATAATATATATCAAAATAAACAAAATCTGTGAAGCTATTTAAGTTGTAAACAATCTCTAAATACTGAAGCCAAATATGAAGATAACATATTTCTTGATTTTAGCATAGTATAAAGATGTCAGACACAGGAGGGTGACTCCAGTATCCTCAGGGGTCAGAGCCAGCACCACTCCTATATCTAAATCACGTGAGACTGAGGCATGGGGGCCAAAGGGTCACAGAAATATATTTGCTGAACTACACACTGAGTCTGAAAATTGAAAGTGGGCAATGGATACAGCTCTTCAACAGTGAATCTCTAGCATCAGCCACTCACAATGCTATCATAACTGCTATCTAGAACACCACACCCAATCACACTGAATCCAAGATACATGAAACTGTTCCTGGCATGTGTACCTAATTTCAACTCTTAAAAATCAGAATACTTACAAAGGACTAAGCAAAACTTTTTGTTACCAAGCAAAGGATGCTATTTCCAAGTAAATTAATGTAACTTTTCTAATAGTTGTGATGTTAATCGCATAAACTCTGATGAAGTAAGTATTAAACACTTAACAGTACACAGAAAAGCCACTTAAAATTATTAAAATAGGAGATTGAAGAGATGGCTCAGTGGTTAAGAGCACTCTGCCCTTCCAGGGGACCAGGTTCAAGTCCCAGCATCCATATGGCAGCTCACAAATGGAACTTCAGTTCCAGGGTATCTGACACTCTCACACAGACATACAGGCAAACAAACCACCAATAAAATAAATAAATAAAATTTTTAAAAATTACTAAAATAATACCAAATATTGAAAGGGTTTGCAGTTTTGGATTCTATATGGATAACATACACATTAATGGTATTCAAATAAAACCAAATGCACACCCAAATGTATAGAAGTGTACATAATAATATTGAAATTTAAAAATAATATATAAAGAAGAAACAGGCAAAAATCACTTCTGGTTAGCAATGTAAAGCTCTGTTACACTCTAAAAATTAATATATTCTTTTCAAAAATCATACAAGTCTTGCAATGTAGATGTATTTAAATTTCATTTTGATTCTTAAATTTAATTTTTTTCATACAATATATTTTAACCATAGTTTTTCAACCACTCTAACTCTTCTCAGATTCTGTCCTCCTTCCTACACATCTACCTTCATGTTCTTTTCTTTCTCTCAAAAATAAAAACAAAACAAAAACAAAAATCAAAATCAAAATGAATAAACAACAAAAATAGTCAAGATGTAAAATATCAAAACAAAATGAGACAAGATGTCCCTCCAAACACACACACATATAAAAGGAGTCTGTTTTGTGTTGTCTAACCACAACTGGTCATGGGGCCTGCTCTGGAGTGTGGCTGATAAACCCAGTGTCACTCTATTAGAAAGAACTAACTTTTTCTTTTCTGCAGGCACCAGTTGCAAAAAGTCTCTTGGTTAAGGGTAGGATATCGTTGTCAACCTCCCTTTGTCTGGTTTGAACTGTGCAGATTCTGGGCATGGTGCTACAGTCTCTGTGTGTGCAGATGCCACAAGTATCTCTGTATTCACACGCTCATCTGTCCTGCTGTGTTTGGAGAATGTTGTTTCCTTGGAGTCATCCACCCATCTACCATCGCTGGCTTTTATAATTTTTTAAATAACTTGAAGCAATAATACCAAGAAAAAAATGAATAGAAGGCATGCTGGGTGCAGTGGTCCATATCTTTAATCTCAGGCATCTGTGTGGGTTCAAGGACAGCTTGGTCTACAAAGCAAGTTCCAGGTCATCCAGGGTTGCAAACCAAAACCATAACCAAAACCAAAGCAAACCTCTACAGAGGTTGAGAGATAGAATTAGAGTTAAGAACTAGGGATGGTTCAGATCTTAACGGCATTTCCTGTTCATACAGAGGACCCTCATCAGTTCCGAGTTCCCAGCACCCATCAGGTGGCTCACAACTGCCAGTAACTCCAGTTCCAGGGGAATTCTTTGCCCTGTTCTGGACATGCTGGCACTGGCATGCACATGCCATACATACATTCAGGGACTTATGCACATATATTAAAAATAATTCATTAAAAAAGTTAAATGCTCACTTACCAGTTCAACAAAAGCAAGTCCCCCATAGCTGTGAGCAACAAAAAACACACTCTCAGCAGCAGACTGGGCTATGAAATGGTCCCAGACGTAGACTGCATGCTCTTCAGGAGAGCCATTTTCCTACAAACAAATCACATATAAATTGTGTATTGTATCTGCATTATCACAGTATTCAGTTTAAATTATGCACTTGTACACAAAGCATAAGAATAAGATGGTTAGAGAACATTCATAGAAACAAAAGAACTGCACTGAATATTTAAATTATAGAATAAATTAGTATTACAACTATTGGTAAATTACTGTTAAGCTTAAATGAAAATGTAATCATTAGAAAGAAATTATTTAAATAAGTGTATTTTAAGAAAAAATAATCCATGTACATATGTGATATTAAGATCTACTTACGCTTATTAGAATTACATAATAGACCATTATGTAATTTTTTGATAAAACAATATTGTTTAGATAAAACACTAAAATATTAGGATACATTCTTCTATATATCTTAAAGTATTTATATTATATATCTATATACTATTTACTTGGCTTATGAGACTGTTAAGAAGTAAACTGAAAACGGAGAAAATTAATAATGGGTATTTTCTATTGAGGGCATTTAAAGGAATGTATGTTTTCTAACAACATTTCTATGCATATTTTATTTCTTGAACTGAGAAAAATAGAAACACATGAATATAGGAGCTTTTAACCTATGGTTTTCAACCCTATTGAGTATATTCTAAAAATTTCTAGAATAACTTTATTTTACTATATTTATTGCATTAGGTGATACATCTAATGGTCATAGAAAAATCTAGATATATGAAAACACTGATGAAAGAATAAATTGTTGAGAACCAATCCGAGCATAAAAATGTGCTTATGTATCTGTTTCTTAGAAGTGAATTTCCTAACAACATCATGGATATTGCACATGAAGGGAATTTAGCCACAATTTTTATCTTTAAAAGGGTATTTGGAGATGCAATCTCTCAACAAATTCTCTGGTTCTTACATCCTTTCAGCCATTTCTCCCACACCATCCTCTAAGCTGTAGGTGGTTAAGTTGTATTAGGGCTAGGCTCCATAACTATGAATTTTGATTGGCTGAGGTTTTCTGCCAATCACACCATTGTGACAGCCTACACAAGAGCTGCCCAAGGACAAGAGCAATGAATATGCTAAAGATGGGGAAAACCTAGGAGGCCTCAACCCTACACAAAGAACCACAGGCAATGGAGGAAAGCTGAAAGCAGAAGAAATAATCTTCCCTGGGAAGAGCTCACCAGTTGGTTACAGTAGCAAGTGTCAGCTGTGACAACATGCATCCAGGTAACATCACAGAGTCTGAGCAGGCTGTATTTAGAAATACTATGTACATGTATAAATATATGTGTGTATTTATATATATATGCATATAACAACATATATATGCATATAACAACAATAGTGAAAGAAGACACCATGAATATGAAAGAGAGCAAAGGGGGTAGATGGGAGGGTTTAGATGGAGGAAACACAAGGACAGTTATAATTTAATTATTTTATATCTCAAAAAATTAAAAGAAATAAAATTTAAAAACATACATGTTTGGTTTTATCAAACAGGGTCTACACTGCTGCTCAGGATGGCCCAGAACTCACCTGTTCTGCACTGCTCTCACTTAGGGCGGTCTGCTTGCCTCCATCTCCCAGTGGGAGGATGAAGGGCATCAGTCAGCAGGCACAGCTCCGACTTACAATTGTATAACTAAGCTGTTGTTCCCTAATGTCTGTCACCATTCCAAATTTCTTTCACAGACACTGGTCATTTCCTTCTGCATATCCCACAGACACTTCAACTAACCCAAACCTTCTAGAAACTTCCTGCCTAACCCTGTTTGTGTTCTCCACATCCACCTGAAACCTGAACATCATCTCTTACATCTCCTTTCCTTAAGTTCCTCATGGAACTAGTCACTTAACCCTGTTGACCCTGCCTCTAACTGGGTCAGAATTCATCTCCTCCTTAGTTTCATTTCTTCTAACTATATCATCAAGTGGCTGATACCAAAGCAACGGAGTCAGCAATACCACTCTAGTTATTGGTCCTTAGCAGGGCAACCATCTACCTGAGGCATTTTACCTTCCTAGAAGTGTCTGAGCTCACTAGATGTTTATGAGTGGCAATGAGAAGGACTGCTTCAAAGTGGCTCTGGAATGAGGAGTGATGGAAGATTTCTGACAGGCCACACGACAGAAGCAGATCAGCAGCAGAGCTGGCCAGCAGAGCAGTATGACTCCTGACATGTCACTGAGCAAGGTTAGAGAGGCAGCCAGGACAGAAATAACGGACAGTAACAAGTGACCTCAAATAGTGAAAAAAATGTTAAAGGTCATAGATGAATTCCTTTTTGAAGTATTAATGGTATACAATTAAACAGCTTTAATAAAATATTACTTTTTTAGTGATTCAATTTGTTCTTTGACAATTTCACATACAAGCAAACACACACTCATATACACATGCATGCACACAAATATACACACTCACATATACAGGCGCGCGCGCGCACGCGCACACACACACACACACACACACACACACACTACATTCTATCTACTCTCACCCTCTTACTTCCCTCTCAGTCCTGGTATCATCCTTTTTCTACAGGTTCCTTTACCACGCTCATGTCTTTTTATTTCCTTTCGTGATCCACCATTTTAAATAGGGCCCTATGTGTACCCAAGAATGGAACTATCCATTGGACCTAAAGGACTTGATGCTCCTATATCAGACTATCTCAATGATTCTAGAAGCTCAGTTTCCATTTGTTTAGTTATTTACAACTCCATCATTTGAGGATTTACAAAATTCTGTGAAATCGTTGTAGGCGTCTATAACTGTTACATATCGAATTAATACAAATATACAAAGATAATATTTACTTCTGAAATACTATAAGACTGACATGATGACAAAAACCCCATGTCTATAAATAAGATGATGTTGCACCCAGGCAAAATAACATTTTTCTATATATATAGAATATTATATATATAATAGCCCATATTGTGCCAATAATCATTTTATATTTACAAACTATAATTTAGAGAGTATGCTACTGACAGTACATTTTAAAATGAAACAGATTTCAATGAGAAAGATTTCATTAATACAGAAATACAAACAAATAATATATTCTACAGGATTCCCTATGAAGGAAGTTACATTTTGTTTTCAGTAACTTGGACGCAGGGGATGGGGATTTTAGAATATGTAGATGAATGAAAGGCATGGAAAGGAGTAAGTCCATCAGCTGAGATTTGCAAGTACAGAAAGCATGGTTACACACACTGGGTAAAGTGCAATGTCAAAAATGCAGGCTGGCTTCTGTGCTCTACTCTGACCATCAGTTGCTAAAGCCAAAAAGAAGTGATGCAGGAACCAAAGCCTTATCAACCAGGCCAGACTCTGACCCATCTGAGCACTGTGAGGTCTGTATTTGTGATGGAATACCTGAGCTGATAACACGCAGAATTATCTAAACAACATTTGCATATTTGTGTAATTATTTTCTAAGGTTAATTAGCTCCTGTAATGCATTTTGCCCTTTGAGACTGCTTACAATGACAGGTTCACATGTTTTCTGAACCACTGCCAAATTTGACAGATTTTTTTCTTCAGCTAACCTGTTGCTACGAAGTTATAAAATGAGTGATCCTATGATACATATTTTATATTTATAATTCATTTAAAAATCAAAATAAAAATGGAATAAATAGAAAGATCTCTTAAAACTCCTCTTTCAAAAGTCAAAGCACAAAGGCATTACACATTGGAAGAGTATCTATTAACATTTCCATCACAACAATCTAATAGAAAATTTATAATTCTAAATTAGCACATGACAATGTCATTAATTCAGCTATGCCACCCATAGATGGCTGCCCTTAGGACTCACCTTGATTTCCTTCTATCTTAGAGCTCCAACTGGAGAATGAATACTATATGAAATATGCGTTTGTTTGTTTCTCCTAAAAGACTAAGATGCTCTATTAGAAAGATGTGTAGCAATAAAATCCAAAGAGGAGGCCAATGATAAATCAGATGGATTAAGAAACAAAATGCAAGTATTATATTGTAGCTAGCAAAGCCATAGCTACATGATGAAAGAAAATGCCGAACTCCATAGAATACCTCTCTAGGAGAAATGAAACCTAAACATTTTAAATTATAATCTTTAATATGATTTTGCTGTTTAAAGCACATAAATTAAAATTTTTGTATTCACAAAAACATTAAATAAAAATTTCTGCATGTATAATATATTTTTATAATCAAGCTATTATTTTATTTTACTTATTAAATAAACTGGATTGAAACATATTAATTTCTCCCTATTTTAAACATACAAAGTTTTATAGACTGAACATATTAGGCTCAGCAATTTAAAGAACTAGGCATATATATGTATTATTACACAAAATTACTGGTAAAGTGTGCATATAATGATAACATTAAAAATCAACACTATTATTTGTTTTCAAAATATAGTAAGTGGAATCATATGAGGCGATCATTATTAGATATTTCATTCTAAAATGAAATTTTATAAAGTTAAATTTTGAGCAGAATAAAAATAAGCAAGAACCTATTGTCCTAGTTAGGTTACTACTGTTGAGATAAAATATCACGAGCAAAGCAACTTGGGGAGGAAAGGACTTATTTGGCTTATGCTTCCAAATCACTGTATACCATAAAAGGAGGTCAGGACCAGAACTTCACAGTGCAGGAAGCTGAAGGCAGGACCTGATGCAGAGGTCATGGAGGGATGCTACTTACTGGATTGCTCCCTATGGCTTACTATACTTGCTTGTAGAACCCAGGGTCACTACCAGAACAGAGGTGACCCTACTCACAATGGGCTGGGACATACCCATATAATCAATAATGAAGATCAATTGAGGTCCCCTCCTCTCAGATGACCCCAAGGTTGTGTCAAGTTGACACAGAACTAACAACACAGCTGTAAAATCAATATATCTTGAAACTCTCCTTCCCTCTACTTTTTAAATGACAAGCTATTGCTAATAGTAATTGACCATTGACCCTAAAGGTATACTACTAGTCAAAA